AGTTTGCTATGGCTAAGCAGCCCGAGCTTCCCAAAATCAGACTCCAGAAAACTGGAGTTCCGTTTATACGTGTAGGTGGGAACATTTATGGAGCAGGTAAAGCCTTGCTGCATTGATCTGCATTGGTAAGTTTCCATTGAATTATGTCAATATAGGCATGAACAATGTCTTTTTGCTGTTTATAGACTACAGATCTGACTGATTGTTTTAAAAGCATTCCTCCTTGCTGCTCCTTGGACCCTCTCACTCCCAGTATTTTACCTGTGGAAATGTAGGCATTGCATTTGAGGAAGGGTTAGGTGCGAATGGGTCACATCGAAAATAAGCAAAGGTATAAACAGAACCAACGGTCTGGGCTCTCTTTTGTGAGACGTATGCAGCAACTGTCTCCACATAGTTTTCCAGTTCTAAAAAGATGCTATGATGATTTTTGCTAAAGAAACAAAGAAAAAACTTTGGAGGGAAAGAAAACACTTTGGATGGAGAAGGTATGTGGCTTAGTTATCTCAGACTATACCCTTTACAATCGCTCTTTAGGATGACTTACATGAGCCCAAAGTGAGAAAGGCTCTTTAAAGAACCGGTGACCTCCCACTTCTTTTACAACATACAATTTTAAAAGTTGTTTATAAATATAGTTCACAGAATCTAAAGGAAAGTAATCAGTATGTTTAGAGCTATTTTTCTGGAGTAATAGATAACAAAACAGAGTATATCACAGCCTCTATTGCTAAGTGATCCTTTTCCAATGCACGTATAGCATTATTGGTATTAATCACACAGAAGACTGATTGCAGGAGCAACGACTTCCAGACAACGAATTTTCTAAGATTTCAGAGAGTATTGCCACCCTTTGACTGCATTTCCAGAAACATTCTGCTTATCCTTGCCAATGATGACAAAAAGTGATTTACTTTAGAAAAACATATTATGGAGTAAAACCAATGACATTTGATCTTAGTTTTAGCATCTAATTATTGTGCTGTGTCCAACACTGCAATACTAGAAACGTTTCTCTTCTTTCAAAAAAAAGTCATTAAAAGCAACAGGTAAACAACAGTGCAGCTGTTTTCTTTCATAGACATATTTAGAAGCTAGGCCTTCTAATGTTATTTTTGAAATTGCCACATTCACGAAGCACCTTGAGTTATTAATAGCTTGTCTCACTCTGGCATGAAAAATCTCATTGAAGTAAAGTGATCCTTGTATTCTTAGACTCCAAAACCATAAATGTTAGCAGGGAAAAAAAATTAAACAACAACAAGCAAAAGTACACAAAAGGGAACAAATTAATTCTGACGCAGTCCCTATAAAGTTATCATGTTAGAGAATATATATAAAGCATAGACCCAACAACATATGATTTTGACATGCTTTTTTTGGTAGGGTTTTTGCATGGTTCTCCCCACAGGTAAAACTTACAGGACACGTATACACGGGAGTCTGGATTCCCTGTCAGTGGCTAATTACCTAAAAGCCAGGCATTATCTCACCTAGCTCCCCTGCTAGCTCAGACATCAGATTTGGACTGTCTCATTCAAAATGACAACTAACTTCCAGAGCAGTAATGGGGTTTCTCTGACTTGGTGGGATGATGTGTGGTGGGGCATTAACATTTGTGAGGCACCGAGATGCTCAGGGTGCCATAAAAAGGTGCTTAACTTTCTAGCACAAGTGACAGGCAACTGTCAGTTGTTAAAGTGCTGATTCTTTCATGTGTTACAGTGCAGAACAGTGAAAACGGAACATTACTTAAATTAATAAAAAAATGCACCACAGACACCATATCACTAAGAAAGCCAGTAACTTTACTGATTTGTCTGCAAAATACAAATTATACCTTATTTCCAGCAGGAGAATCTTTTGAAATTTTCCCATTTTTGTTCACTACAGACAGCTGAATTAAGTCCCTTGAGATACACAGATGTGGTTTAACTTAGTTATAACATCTTGTCATCTAGTGGCGACAAAGTCCAGCTTATGCCGCTGTGAGCCTCTACTTTAATATTTGTTGCAAATGCTTGTATGCTCCCATTTACAAGCTATTTTGTTATCACCATTGTTTTATGGAAGCAAATCCCCATGAAAGAGAAGGAAAAAAAAAAAACAAACAAAAAAAGGATACAACAAACCATCTGAAGCAATCCAAGTGTAATGCCTGCGGTAACCCAGGTCTGATATTAGTTACTCCACAAAAGACTCTGGTACTGCATTTTTTTTATATTTTAATTTTTTAATGAGTTACTGAACTGACCTTTTTTGAATCAAACTGAGGTACGGATCAGTCTGAGGTATGAGAAGGGATGGTAGAAATGCAACACCTGATTATGAAAATAATCAAACGGATACTTTTGATGCAGAAGATCTGTGGCTCAAAGCTTGGATTGCTCCACATCTTTGGTTAAAATATATTAACAAAAGCCTTTTATTACATCTACAGTCTGAAGCATTCTAACAGACACCAATGTTCCATCAGTCCTTCAAGAGACCTGTAGTGGCAGGAAATTAATGCCATATAACTGACGACATCACAGCAGATGGCACAAACAGGAACAGATGAAGTATGCCATGTTTAGGCAACAGCCTTTATTGAGGTTTCAAGTGGCTTTAAAAAAATTACAAAGCATTTACCTTCAAGGCGAAGGAAGAAGGAAAACAAAACAGCTCTGTTAGGACTATAGATAAAAGAGGGTATATAGGATAACACATACAATACAAAAGGGTTGACATCCTTGAAAACAGTCTATGAGTTCTTTAATTCTTACGCTAGCTTTACCTGAAAAAGATCTGAGGACAACAGATATTTTTATATTATTCATTAAAAACTGCTAAATTCCTCTTCTGGGAAAAATATAAGCCATTTTGTTATAAAACACAACTTTTGAAAAACACTGAAATGACAAAAGCTTTACTGCGAATGGCTCAATGCATACAATATACAGGTTGTGCAGATAGGGTATATCATATAATTGTCACCAGCAATTAAACACTAACTGACAACACCTTCTAATAGAGGTTAGCTTAGCTATAACAATACTTGCAGATGTCTAGAATGCCACTTCAGGTGTTTGAACTTACAATTAAGAATGTTGCCTAAAACATTATATAGCATGGGTTAAGGTAAAGTAAATGTTAATACTCTTTCAGGGCTCTGCCCCAAACTCCTTAAATACAAAGGAATCACACAATAAACCCAAATTAGCTTTGCAAATACAATAAATGGTAAGGTACAGATAAAGGAACAAGAAAGGTAGACAGTTATAGTTTACAGAAAGTGACTTCACAATCAAAGTTGTGCTTCTTATCATTAGATCAGTTTGCAAATATGCATTATCCCCCACAATTTTGCCAGTATAAGTTAGTTGCCCTCTGCAGCAAGAACAAGAGGGATGACTGGCATTTATTTTCACGTGATTCTGTTCTACTTGTGTTTATACAAAAATCACTGTCAGAGTTAATATAAATTGCCCAGGCAATACTTTTCACGCTACTTTCTGCTTAGTTACTTGCAGTAATATATTACACTGCATCTTCGTTAAATATGATATCTTTCCTTTTTCATGCGTTGCTGAGGCAAATCGCAAGGTAAACTATTAATATGGCTATTCTTCATATATCAATAGACCAAATCCCCTTCCCCACTGACAAGTTTCTACTACAATACTGATAAGGTTGTATTTTTTCTTGAAATGACAAGGTACATTTGTGATATATTTGCATATTTTTGACACACCAAAGTTTAAAATTCTCGGAAGAGAATATGAGTATAGGTTCATCTGAAGGTGAAGAAAGTGGTTTCAAAAACAGGTTTTTTGTGTTTTAAAATTAATTATGGGCCCCATTTTACCTTTTTTTTTGTGTTTTGTTTTTTTTTTTTTTTTTGTTTTTTTTTTTTTTTAAAACATGCGTATCTTTTTCTTTACCCTGCAGATTGCTACACAAGACAAGATGGACGCATTAGTAGCACAGTATTCCGCGTAAAGATTTTCCAGATTATGCACTAGCCCCTGCACGGCTGAGAGTGCCTGTAAGGCAGGCTTCTATAAAGTCATGGTAAGTGAAAAGCATATGTCCTAATGCACACTGTAGTCTGTTCATCATCGTCTACTACAGAGAGGTACACTCCGTCATTGAGCAGTGCACAGCAACTGCATGTACAGGAGGGAAATAAGAGTGTGGATTTCCCTTAACAAAATACTCTGTGTTGATACTTAGCTGTTGCAGCTATATCCTTCATCATAGCGTCGTTGTATGTAGGTGAGAGTTGGAAGAACTCTTGGAAAAAGGAGAAATACAACAGTTTTACCAACATTTTGCTTAAACACTTTTCCCCTCCAACAGAAAGTTTACACTGAAACATTTGAAGATACCATTTTCGTCTAATAAGCAAGAGGGAAAAAGAGGGACTTCAAGAAATTATACCTTCCCTCTGGTCAAGCTACTTCAGTCAAAGGAACAACATGAGGCAGGAGAAAAGGCGGATGCCATATGCTGGAGCAAATCTGGCTGTGAGTGCGAGTACACAGGGAGCGTTGCTCAACAACGTGCCCACTGTGAGATGATGTGACAGCAGATGTCCGTGGGAACCAGGGACCTGATGGCCAATATTGGCTGTGTAAGATCAATCGCCTATTGAATGGTCCTTTAATTGACGATCTCGCTAAGAATTTTAAACCTGTGAGAGAGGGGAGTAATCTTTATAACGGCATGTTTGTGCCAGTCCCTCCCTTTCACTCTCCCTACTGCTTTTGCAAATATTCACCTGCACTCAAGTAACCGACAGCCATTAGAGCTGTACATCCAATTCTGACAGGCAGAATACCAGCTTCATTAATGAGAAAGGGCCAAGTTATGCCACTTTGTCATTTAATCCATGGAAAACTACAAGATACGCAGGACGTTAAGTAATAGAAGGGCCCTTAACTTGTTACAATGCACAAAACAGCATGAAAGAACTAATCAGTATATACAATGGATCGCAGTTCACCCAACTGATTGTAAAATGCTGTATTAAAATGATTTACGTTGTTACACCATGGGTAAATTCTAACTTTTTACAGATCAGTCTTTCAACAGCTGACTTCGATCCGTAAAATGTATACCCAGTAAAAGAAAACTGAAAGAAAATAGTTAAATGTGCAACTGCACAAATATAATTCCCCACTATTAAGATAACAAAAACTTTTGCTATTACCATAATTATTATATATATTAGAAAGCTATACACAAGCATGTTAATTTCACAGATTTTTTTAAAAGATTCTTAATATTTTATATAATTAGAAATACACATTTCAAAAACAAAACTTCTGCAAAGAGAAAACAGTTATCTTGGTTAGCAAAGCATGGAGTTCTTCATGGCTTAGGGTAGTGCTTTCTATACAAAAAGTCCTTTTTGTTTGTTTCTTCAGGACTGTTTAAAAGATTAGCGAAGCTATCAAGGGAAAAAGAACACATTTTGGCTTAAGGAAACTACAAAAGCCACAAATGCTTTGCAAACTCTGTCTTACTTTTTAATATGAAAATAAGCAAAATGTAATGTACATATTTTTATACTTTTTTTATTTAATAAGTGATACAGACCCAGAATTTTCAAAATTAAATATGCTAGCCCTCGAACTCAACATTTTTACAAGTATGGTCCTCTTTAAATGTTTTGACCCTTTTTAACTGAGTGCCATACTCTAATGATATGCCTGCATGTTTGTGAGCATTTTCGGTATGTTGGGTGACCCAGCCTCTTTCTAGCATCAATTCACGGCCACCCAACCGCTGGGTCTGTCAAAACATCTGTACATTTTCTATATGTTGCATAACAGCTGCTTTCTCTCTCAGTAAAGATCTGCCATTTCTGGCAAATGTTTTCCTTTTGTCTATTTACATGTAAATAACGTTGAACCTGCAACATGACACTATCTATTGTAACATACATTTTGCAAGGGAGCACAACAGTGAAAAGAAGTTAGCCTTAAAATCTATTTTGTACAAGTGTTCTGTTGTACAACTCAAGTGCTAAGCTTATCTCAGCATTTCTGTTTATCCTTATACTGTATCACTGAGGCAATTTAAAAGTACTTTTACAAAACAGAGTACCTGACTTTTTTTTTTTTTTTTCCACACACGGCACATATAATGCATATCGACCCCCCCTCCCCCATTAAGGTATAGCACACACACACTGCAAGAAAAAAAAACAAAAAACAAAACCAACTAATAGGTAATAATGTTATCATGTCGCCCATCCTTCAGAGAGCCGCATGCGCTTGACAGAGGGGCTTTCCCTTTCGTCCGGCGAAGGTCTGGTGAGTCCAATGGGGGAGTGGAATTCGTTCCGGTGATCTTCTCGGTCACTTCCATCGTAGGAACTGCTACAGCTGCTCAAACTGTCAACAGGAGATCTCCCCGCCTCATGGCGCGTGTGCTGTGGGTATCTCGAGGGTGTGGTGGTACGGTCTCTAGGAGGAGAAACAGGTTCTGACTTGATGTTGAGGCTTTGAGTAGAAGGCAGGGAGAGATTTGTACTCTGAGATAAATGAGTGCTAGTGCAAGCTCTGTAGGAGGAAAGGAAACCCAGTTACAGACGGAGGAGGCATGGAGCCCCCAGATATGCACAAACACTCACACAAAACACCAGTGTAAAGGCTCGCGTGGGACCAGCCCGTGCAGAGAGCACGAGGGCTGTTTGCTGGGCAGAATTCACAAATTCAAAGAGATGAAAGCATCGTAACAAACGTGGTTGGCTTGAGTGGGGACATGTCCTCAGTTTGAAAGGAGGTCTTGCTTTCAACCTCTCTCTCTTCCTCCTTTTTTTTTGACTCAAATGTCACAACAGATTTTGGAAAGCGAGCCTTTGCACTGTTGGAACCACCTGCAGGTTTCTTTATAACTAATGCTTGTGTGTGTGTATGCACCGGCTGAGACAGGGAGGCACGGACTTTCTGCTGGGATTATTCCAATTAGTTTGAATGCACCCAACTATTTTTATCACTGTTCATTTTGACATGTGACTTCAGGTGCAAAACAGAAACAAAAATTTGGGCCAGGTACGTTTTGCATCTTTAAGAATAGAGTTGAAATTACTGATCCTAGGGTTGACATTAATAAAATAACACAGGCAGGCACATATTTAGATACGATTTTATGGTTTAAATCTATGAATTCATAACTCAATCCAGGATGCTTTTGAATGAACTACCAAAGAGAAGCTGAAGAATAGTGGAAGATGTCAAGATTGTACTGTTAGCCCAGCTCGGAGGATGCTGCTAGCATCAAGTGAAGCTGCTACGCCAAAACTTTTTCAAAGGCAAGCTATATAACTACTCTAAGTTAATTTTTCTTTCTGTGCATTTTTGTGGGCTGGTAGTGGCAGAGGAAAGCTGAAACAGGGAGGGAGGAGAGTGAATACTGAGAATGCGCTTTATCTCTATGGGAGAAATAAGATCACTTGCATCTGCAGGATGCTTTGTACAAAAGCACCACCTCCTGGTAAAACCTAACTTTTCTCTTCGTTATTAAAACAGAGTTCTCAACATGCAGTTCTCATTAGGTTCTACTTCAGGGAACATTTACTAGGATGAAATTAAGGTCTAACTCCAGAGACACAGTTTCAAGTTTTCTACTCGTGAGTATTTATACCAGGAGAGACTGAAGGCAGTAGGGGCAACAGGCCACTCAGCCTCATAAGATTTTAAACTCAAAGGGATGTGCATTTTTACTAAAACCAGAAGAAATATTGGGATTTGGAAGTAATTTTTAAGCATGTAGAAGACACAACTAAGTTTAGATTCAGTCTTTTCATTTATTGAAATATTACATTTTTCCTGATATCTCACCAACTGGGAGTTAAGCTTCAGCAATGTTTACTACGACTTTGATGAACGACAAAATGTTGTTTTCTTCTGACAGATTTAAAATGGAACTATATGGCTTCAATATTGAACAATATCAGCTGCTTTTACCAGGAATTATTGCAGTCTTTAGTCATGGATTGATCTTGTTAGAAAACAGAGAAAACAGGATGTTCTACCTCCAATTGCTTTTATCTACGCTTCATTCCTATACAGATGAATGTGCCAAATTTGCAGTGATCCCTTTCATAAGTCACAGAGTTTGTGAGCAAGAGCCCTCACAGTGGCAAATGTAGGCTTTTTTTTTTTTTTTTTTTTTTTTTGGCAAAGCAGACGTTTTATTTGCTTTTGTAACTATTAAATTAACACATGTATGAAACTGTAAATATCAGACTTTGTCATACCAATCTAGTGAAATATTCCACTCTTTTCCTGAAAAATTGTTGAAAAGAATCCAACAAGAATAAAAAATACATTCCTGGGTTTTTTTGTTGTTTTGGTTTTTTTTGCTTTTCATTTCCAGTGACTTTATTTTTCAGTTGCTTAGGAGATGCTAGGACTTCACTTGGGAAAACAGACTGCCAGTTTATCATGTATGATAAGATTACATATGATTTTAGACACCAAGCGTATAGCTGAACCTGAAAGTCCCATAACAAAGGATGGTGGAGCCTGGGGATTTCATTTAGAAGTGTTTGATACGAGCAGATGACACGTCACTTCGCAAAGCTGGGGACAGCTAAAAAACCCATGCTAGTTAAAACCAACCATATTCAGTCAAATTTGTTCACACGGAACATACTTGCATTCTATTGTGTGACAGCCCCCAAAGGAACAAATCTAGACAGGTAACCTGCACTTTCAATGAAATAGAGCTAGAATTGCTATATGGCAATGTTACTTTTTTACTAGTGTTTCAGAAGTGAGTATGAGAATGCATCGCTATAGACTTTTCTTCAGATTCCTTGTGATTCATCAGTAGGGTTACGTAAATACTTGGCATACATTTTTGTGGCGGTTTTAAAAATGCTACAGCTTGATCTGCATTTTGAACACTTTTTTGTAAACTGAAAAAAGGTTAAGAAGTCATTTCGGCAGGTCAGGACTAAATTTTTGAGGTCTGAACCAATATAAATAAATTAAAGCAATTATTTTGAGTTACCATACTTTTTTTTTTTTTTCTTTTTAAATACAGTCTTTTTCTGCTCAAACTATTTCTGAATTTTAATATCTGGGTTTTGGTGACTATAATTTACATTATTTCATTGAAATTTTCCAAAACGTTTTTACAAGAATCTCATGTAAGCTAAAATGGTCAATTACAAAGGCAACCTACTGCTACACAGAGACATGAATGGTGAAGTAGTACATAATTAGATGCAGTCTTCAGATCCGTATTCTAAACAGAGGATTGACCTCTATTTAGAATAGAAGCCGTATTGTAAAAAATGAGAATTCTATCATCTGCTACAAAATTATTTATTTTCGTGTATGCATGTGTGTGAGTGTAGAAACAGCTGTTTGTATCTATACGTATCAATGTATATTTTACACTGTACTTCATATAATTACGTAATTTTGGTCCAGGCATGCCCTATTTTCATCATTTGAAACCTACACTGAGTTCACTGGAAAACAAACAGGTTTTGAACATGGAAAATCCACAGAGAAAATGAAGTAAATTACTTCAAAGGATTGTGTATGATTATAAGCACTCAATAGGTGCCATGCAGTCCACTCATGTTGATGTAATCACCTTTTTCCATATACTGTATGAGAACATTTCGTTTTATGGGGACAATGAAGAAAATTCATGTTTTAATTTTACTCAGCTGTTCCTATTGAGACCAATACGGTGAAAATGTGATGTTTATTTAGACTGCAACAGCCATATGCAAGAAATGCTCATTCCTATCTGGGTTCAACACTGAAGAACCACACAGCTCTGCTATGTAACAGGTGGGAAGTAAGTCTGCATGCAATGAACTTGCAAGTGGGTTTGGTCCTTGCTGATGCCAGTGAGGTCCTGCTTGACCAATCTGATCTCCTTCTATGACAAAGTGACCCACTTATTTGATGCGGCAAAGGCTGCGGATGTTGTCTATCCAGCCTTCAGTAAGGCCTTTGACACGGTCTCCTACAGCATCCTCCTAGATAAACTGGTTGCGTATGCCTTAGATAGGTGGACTCTTCAATGGGTAAAAAACTGGCTGGATGGCTGGGATCAGAGAGTTGCAGTCAACGGAGCTAAATCCCATTGGTGGCCGGTCACTACCGGTGTTCCCCAGGGCTCAGTTTGGGGCTGGTGCTGTTTAACATCCTTATAGATGTTCTGGACATGGGGATCGAGTGCACCCTCAGTAAATTTGCAGATGACACCAAGCTGGGTGGGAGTGTCGATCTGCTGGAGGGTAGGAAGGCTCTACAGAGGGATCTGGACAGGCTGGATCGATGGGCTGAGACCAACGGCATGAGGTTCAACAAGGCCAAGTGCCAGGTCCTGCACTTTGGCCACAAAAACCCCATACAACGTTACAGGCCTGGGGGAGGAGTGGTTAGAAAGTTGTCAAGTGGAAAAAGACCTGGGGGTGCTGGTTGTCAGCCGGCTGAACATGAGCCAGCAGTGTGCCCAGGTGGCCAAGAAGGCCAATGGCATCCTGGCCTGTATCAGCAATGGTGTGGCCAGCAGGACCAGGGCAGTGATCGTCCCTTTGTACTCGGCACTGGTGAGGCCACACCTCGAGTGCTGTGTCCAGTTCTGGGCCCCTCACCACAAGAAGGACCTTGAGGGGCTGGAGCGAGTCCAGAGAAGGGCAACGAAGGAGGTGCAGGTGGTGAAGGGTCTGGAGCACAAGTCTGATGGGGAGCGACTGAGGGAGCTGGGGGTGTTTGGTCTGGAGAAGAGGAGGCTGAGGGGAGGCCTGATCGCTCTCTACAACGACCTGAAAGGAGGGGGTAGCCAGGTCGGGTCTCTTCTCCCAGGCAACCAATGACAGGACAAAAGGGCATAGTCTGAAACTGCACCAGGGGAAGTTCAGGCTAGAAATGAGGAGGCATTTCTTCACAGAAAGGGTTGTTTCGCATTGGAATGGGCTGCCCAGGGAGGTGGTGGAGTCCCCATCCCTGGAGGTGTTTAAGAAAAGACTGGACGTGGCACTTACTGCCATAGTCTAGCTGACATGGGGGTGTTAGGGCAAAGGTTGGACTCGATGATCCCAGAGGTCTCTTCCAACTCATTGATTCTGTGATTCTGTGATCAGTTCTGTGTGTGTCTCCATCTATTCGAACCTCCAACTGGTGTGGAAGCTCAGCATGCACAGACAGAAGTGCAGGTCTGAGTAGGTGATGAGTGAGGACATGAACATGCACCAGACAGGGTTTTACAGAGGGAGAAAGTGGTCTAATGAAGGAAGAAAGAGCCTCACATACCTTTTCTTTTATGCCCACCCTTGCTTCTCTAAATTAGTTTACTTTCTCACTTCATAAAATTTTCCCCCGTAAACATATTTAAGGAACCACCAAAAATTCATTGCAAAATTTAGTTATGTAACTTTAGTTATGTGTTAGTCTGTAACGAGGAGAATAGAGGATATTTTTGACTTGCTAGCAATGCAACCCTCCTCCCTCCCCTCTGTTTTTTCTTTTAGGTAAAAGCAAAGTTGTTTTTTCATAGTTTTTGATCAATGTAAAAGCAGAATAAGAATTTCTGTGTCAAGATATTTTGATTAGCTCTCACAGGTTAAGGAAGGTCTACACTTCAAAAAGAAATTTCTAAACGAAGAATAATATGCAACTGAATCACTGGAACATCTTATTTACAATGGTGGCATAAGAAAAAAGGCTCAATCTTAAACATATAAGGCTTTTATTCAAAACAAGGAAGTTGGCAGAACTGATACAAATTCACAAAACATGATGTCACTGTATCTAAATTTTTTGGTAAAAATGGTTCAATGGAGAATATTTGTCCATATCTAGCTATGGCTACTACCTAATCAAAATTATTTGTCGTTAAGTAATAAGCTTGCTATGTAAAAGTCACAGAACAAGTCAATAGTATGCATGAATTTCGACAATTTTTTGTTCAGGTGGTTAGAAGTTTGGGGAAACTTCTTTTACATAAACAATTATCTATACTGAAAATTCTTCAGATGAAATACTGTTTCTATGTTTGTACTTATATTTTAGGAAAGCCAAAATTTCACCTGTGGATGATACTTAAGGAAGAAAAGATTCTCTCTTAGACTGTGAAATACGGATGAAAGAGAACATTTTCCATAAAACAGACTTGTGCCTAAAAAATTTAGATCATTTATTTTAAATTTTGGAACGGATTTCACTTCTGGTTAGCAGCAATTAACTTCTGGTAGACTCTTTGGTCTGTGCTAAATAAGCAGTAACCTGCTCTGTAAGAGACATTGCAGCAATATTCAGACAAAATCCCAAAGTTTTGGGAGGGATTGATTTTCAATAGATTTTGTGTGTATATTTTCCAGATGTGGACCTAGTCAAAAGACCATGAAAGTAGTATTTTGCTTTTTTAAACTAAAAAGTTGAAAAGTCGGACTTGTTTTAATGTGCCAATCATATAAAACAGGCTCTGCATTGTTATCCTATTCACCATGCTCAGCAAAAGGCCAAAAACTGCACAGACAGGGAAAGTGGACTACTCCCATGTCCTCGGGTATTTGCCCTCAAGCCCAGTTGCACTTGTATGGTTGCTAATTGCAGAGTCAACATGAAGAGTTAAGAGTTGGGTTGTAGAGATCTTTTCTGATTATCGTAAAGATGGCTCTGACAGTGCTGCTGAAATTGTTGAGGACTTATCTGGAGCAAGCTAATATGTCTAACCAAATCCTATTCTATCACTAATCATGTTCTTCTGCCATGCATTAAGGAAGTAATGCTCGTTCTCACCTTTAGGCTTCAGTGAAAAACAAAATCTACTGGAGAACTAGGATGTCTCTTCCAGTACCTCTGTTTTCTGACAAGTCTTTACAGTCTACTGTTACCAACAAACATCTCACAGTCGCCAAATCTTTCCAGTATATGAGCTCACTCAGCCCAGGGATTTGGGTTGTCAAACGCTTTCTAGATGTATTTTCCCAAATACCTGGGGATGATTACAATTTTGTGTGATTGTTTTAATCTTCCTGCAAATTCTAGCTCAGGTTGACATGGACTGAATATGCTCTGTGTAATTTCAAGTTTTTCAAATAATTCAAAAGTTAGCACAAGTGCTTTGGCATGTAGAACTCAGTAACTAAAATAAAATAAAGAAATGCTTAAGATTTTTTGCAGAGATAGAAGACTTCTCCAGAACTGTCAGTGAAGCAGCTTTCATAGCTGAATTCATTTACAAATCACTGAAAGAATAATAATAAAAGTAGCAACTCAGAATATATTCCACCAGCCACAGCCATTACACTTTGACATTCTGTGATATGAATTAGAAACAGATGACAATGTGTGACATATCTGAAAAGGCATGTAGTTAGTTTAGGGTTTAATTTATACTTTTTTGGTTAACCAAATAGCCTTATTACATTCCTTGGTACACCACTGAAAACAATCAGCTTATTGTAAGGTTATACATTGATATCTGATGTGAGTTTTCAATTTATTTGAGACTTTATGTCTTTAGTTGTACAGTTAGCCTGAATGTTGCCCCAGAAACAGTGCAAAACTCAGAAAGAAAATAGAAGTAGCATAAAAGAAAGGTATTAAGACTATTTTTTCTAGCACAGTAAGTATTTCAGTTGTAAGTTTTTATCTAGTTAGTATCTACAGATTTATACAGAAATGAAGTTTACAAATTTTGATTTCCTCAGAAACACCTGTATAGCTGTCCTTTAAAACCTAAACTGTCTGTACATGGCAAAGAAACTACAGTAAATTACAAAAAGTGGTCAGATAAATTAGAAGGAGAATTTTGAAGTTTAAGCCACATTTATAGTGTTAAATAATTTCACATTATGGCAACTGTCTTCCAAAAAAATTAGTGCATATGTGCAACACCTCTTTCTGGGGAAAAAAATAAAAAGGAGTTTACTTTTCAAATGCATGTGAATTAAATTTCTCCTCATAAATACACTCCAGCTGTTTTCAGCTTCTATTTTTATAATAAAAACTCTTAAAATTCAAACATGTCTAGCCATACCTTAGGCTACATGTGGTGTGCTGGTGAATGCCTATGGTCTTGCTCAATAGAAACTGCAGATACCAGGACTTTTGAAAATCGTACTCTTAAAATTCACTTCAATGAGGCAATATTGCTTTTCCAAGAATGCATTAGGTGACTTCCCTGTGTGAATTTTCACACTTTTAAAAATCCTGAAATGATTTAGCAGTGTGCTTCACCAATCTTGGATAAATGTCTTGAAATTGGCCACTAGAGGGCAGGAATACCTATCCTCCTCAACACAGGAAAATCGCAATGACTTTTGTGGGCATTACAGTTCTTAGGCCTAACTATGCTATTCGCTTGTAGAAAACGTTTCTAAAGAAATGAAACTTGAATTTTAAAGCTGAGTAAAAGGGATTATGTGATTATTATATAAGGTTAAGGCTTAATCTCAGGTCAAATCATTATGTCATTCTGACTTGACTGAATATGTTTAGAAAATTTTCAAGTTTACTGTAAACGTTTGTGCTATAGTAACTGGAAATAAAAAGCATAAATGGCAAAATACAGCAACAGTGAAACATTAAGTGTTTAGTTTGTTTAGAAGTAAAATAAAATGCTATTTAAAGAAAGAGTAAAACATGAACAGTAGTCTCTACTACGCTACTGAGAAAACGTCATGGATGCAGAATATTTCATTGTAGCTACCTACCAAACTTTTCATGAAACACATAGTTTTGGGAAATGGAGCTCTTACACAGCACTTTACATAGTAAATATGTGCTAATATGTTGTCTTGATATATTTCAGGTTTGGGATTACTGGGAAGACTGAAGTCACCATAGAATAATGAAAGAAAACACTGCTTACCCCAATTGACTGAGGGCAGATGGTGGCATGTTATGTAGGTGCTGTTGTTGCCAGCCAGTCACAGAACCAAGATGAAGAGCACTGGCTGTATTAAATCCAGAGAGAGATGATATATCTGCACTACTCAGAGAATATTCTAGATTTGAAAACAGAAAAGACCATAATTAAAAGAGAATTAAAGAGGAAGCAATTAAACAATAACTAGCATCATATTTTTCACATGTCACTTTATAAGCCTTTTAATTTTAATTACACCAATCACATTAAATTGCAACAGAAAAAGTAGACCTTCCTCTTCCCTCAACTCATTAACAAGGGAGCAAATAATGCACTAATAATTACTCTATAATTTAACACGGTTTTTCTGGATCTGGAACATCCAAGGCATTCTTAGCCTGTATATCCACCATAACTACAGGTGCATTCTCACAGATCCAAAGACTTGGAAAACATAATAATATTTTGATCATAGTCTTCCTTGCAGAAACCAGCAGGCGGCCTGTGTCGGAACAATGCACGTCTTCTCTAAGAGCACTGGATCTGTACACCAGCATGCTCTATACAGCAGGAATGTGCAATGGGAACTGGAAAGGATCTCTTCAGGCTTTATTTCCAGTCTCTCCCAGGTAAGTATGTGATAGCCCACAAAGTTACTGAACTCTGTTTTGAAGCCAGTGAAGCTGCTTGCTCCCACTAGCCTTATGACTTTAGGAAGGTGCACTCAACTACATGAAATTACCTGTGGTATTAAGAGGATTTAGGAATGCCTTTTAAGTTACTTATTTTTTATTAAAGCCAATGAAAGAAAGCTATCAAAGCCGTTTTCCATTCAAACAAGATAGCTAACTTTTAAATAGATATGTCTCAAGTTAGTGACAGATACAGAATAAGTAAACGCAGTGCAAAAGTGTATCAGCTATGAATTTTTCAGTTTCTCCAAATGACAATTAGCTAGTTCATTAGTACTGAGATAGACATTTGTCAGCATCTTGCTCCCTCCTCCCCCTTTACATCTTGCACCCATACTTACCAGTACCATATGTTGTTGAGATGGCTGATGGGTATCCTCCCATCCCTTGCCCTGGTAGAGTAGGAGTTGCTACGGAAACCACTGGAGTAGCCAATGACTGAGCAGACTGGGAGTTATTTATCCTCTGATTCTTTTAAAGTAAGTAAAATAAACATATTATTGACTAGTTTTAAGTCAGTTAAGTGTATTAGCTTTCTGGGTATGTTTTGTGCATGAGAAATACAGGCTGATACAAATTTCTAGAAATTAATCATTTAACATGTGGCTTTTATGAACTCTGCCAACCCTATCATTTACAAGCCTTCGAGAGACCAGTTGTCACCATAGTAACCCATTACATCAGTATCTCCTAGGTAACTGAACTCGTAACAAGTAAGATTGCTTTTATTGTGGGTAGAAGAACAGATCGTGTGAAAAACCAATGAAATATGTAAACTTTATTCCCATTGTTTTTCTTTTTACTCAAATTAAAAAAGAAAAAAAAAAGGGGGGGGGGATGGGGGGGAAGTGAAAGAAAAACACCCAAACTCAGCCCTACTGGATTTTACGCTTTGAAAGTGAGGGGGACCCCGAGATGGGTGAACACTGAGCTCTTACCAGCAGATGGCGCTCTGACTACTTCGTTTTAGTGCAATAAAACAAACTTCAGGAGTGTTAGGTAGCACAGCAGTTACACGCTTATCTTTAACTCCTGGGCACTAGATGTTGCACTGTTAAAAATCGCACTAGAGAACTCTAATCCTGTGAGCGGCAGGATAAAATGACCAGAAAGCCACTAAAAAAATGTTGTAAGGCTGCACCATAATCAATAGCACAAGTTTACCTGCTCTCAAAGCACCACCACCAAGAAAGCTTTCTTCTAGCATGCATAATTTGAGTATGTGCAACAACTGCATCTAGCCTTCCATATTGTCATATTTCAAAAATTATGATGACCTTTTTGTTCACGAAATAGTTATGATAAAAGTTTCCACTTTATTTCAACCAACACTTCACCTACACAAGTATCAATGATACAAAAGAACTCATTTTCTTTTCCTCGTTATATTAAGATGAACATCACTACCACTTACCAGAAGCAGATCAACATCCTCAGACTGAGTGCATAGGAAAGGAGCATTAAAAATTAGTGAATATAAATATTTACCAGGATGCAGATTTCTAGCTTAGGGAAGAGCTTCATCTGATAGGGGCAGCAAATTAAACAATTTCTGAGCATAGTTCAGAAAAAAAAAAAACCACTTCACAGATCTCTTCTTTGTCCTTCTAATGGGACGTTTGTCTCAACTGTGAGGACAATCTATCCAGTTTTCAGCACAAGACTTTCTCTAAGAATTCATTATTTCTTCCACAGCCCCAGTGGCTGCAGACTGTGTTGCGATACTTGGTTTCAGGAGACATGACCATTCACAGAATCCCTTGGAAAATATCAGTTTTAAGGACCTTGGAATAAATCATTTGAGGCAGACAGCCTGTCACTGCCTTGGTCAACTTTGAGCATTTCCCTGTAGAAGACTATTTGTTACTTATACTCTCAGAAGGCAGCATCACATTTACGGTGTGTGTGTGTGTGTGTGTGTGTTTAGTTTGATGTCTAAAGTTAATTTATTATGCATCAAGCTGAAGTAGCCAACTTGGAAGTTGTTTTCATAGTGTCTGTTACACAACGGAAAAATGTGTTCATACTGTCACTTAAATTTGCCATCAAGACCCTTTTTAAACTAAGATCACTTTTAATGTTAAATCACTCATGAAAGATTTACTTGCAACCACTAACTGACTTTAGGAAGGGAACTACAAGATACGCACATGACACCTTCACGATTCAACCTTCTAGCATAATAGCCTGCCTAAATTTCATTAATCCTGGCAGCAGACACAGCAGTTTCATGCTCCTGTTTATCCTCCTCCATTTACTACCTCTTATCATTACAAAATTTGGCCTTTGGAGTTCAGAGTCATAGACTTCAAATTAATTTATTTGTAGTTAATCTGCCATCTGCTGAGAGTCTGTGTGGCTAAATATTTAAGAAAAACATAGTAGGTTAGGAATACTCAGGGTTAAATTCAGCCTTTATAACAAATCCAGGAAAGGCTCTTCCAGCTACTAGGAAAGAGAGTGCAGAAGTTTAGACTGTGCAGGACACAGTTCCTATTTTGCAACTCAATAGAAAAAAAAGGAGGAAGTAAATATGACTTCATAAAAGCATTTGAGCAGGCTCCGCCTACATCCTCAGCTTGATGTCAAGCCTTAAGGTTAGACAGAAAGACTAAACAAGCAAGATTGTGGAATGTTATTCTGCTGGTTTTAGTTGCTTGAGCAGGCTTTGAAATTCCCAAGTATCTCTTATCTGAAGGAGATTAAGAAAGCTTTGAAAATGCATTACCACTGATGGCATTGTATTCTTGCTGCCAGGTGGAATAAGCACACGGAGATCTGGTTTACGGTTGTTCATTCCCAAATTCATTGGAGGCGGAGATTTTGCTTGCATATTCTTGTTCAAGTTGCCAGGTGAGACCAGCAGACCTGGTGAGTTGCGGGGGTTGCCATATCCGTTTCCTGTTTAGGTAAAGAAAAAAAGAAACGAAAAAAAAAAAAAGAGAGAAGGATTATAAACTGCAATTTATTTCTTAAGACTGAACACTAAAAATGTTCAATTAAAAAAAAAAATCAAGGTAAATACCCGTGTCATGTAATGTATCTTTATAGGACAATACAACGCATGCCACATTTGCAACAACTGGTCTTAAAATGCTTTTTCTCATGGCAGCCGACATCTCAGTGATATGCTGAAATTAACTTAATTATACCACTCTGTTTACTGCATTATGGTGTATATAGCACAATATACTGTGCACTCAAAGCAGCCAAGATCTCTAACGTTTGCCTTAGAAGAAAATTAGGAAAGTCAGACAATCTTATGGCTTAAAAAAATGTCAAAGCTACTCTGTGTTTTCTTGACAACTACAGAGGATTCTGCCCTGCCTGACTCAGCCCTTTCCAGGTCATGATTTTGTTTTGCTTTTAAACAAAAGATGAGTATAGCAAGGCTATGATTTCCAGAAAAGGCAGGGGGAGGACTAGGAAGATTCTTAAATGTTTTTGGCTCTCTTTCACCACACTTTTTGGACCTGATTCTGTCAACACTAAAGTCAATGGGAGCAAGAGCATAACCTTATTTGGAAAATACCACCGTATCTTTCATCTTCATCTCTCTGCTGCTTTCTGCAAGCCCCAGGAACAATTCTGACAGGCAAATGCTTCATTTTCCTTTTTCAGAAAAGGGTTTCCTTCTCTCACCACATAGTACTGACAAGTGTGTATCCCTAGGGTCACTGACCTACCATTCCACTAAAAACGAGACCTTCCTATTTCATCCGCCTGATTCACATCTTACCCACGCAAAGTCTGGGGAAAGAGATGACTTTTTAGTGTAGCCTTGAAATTCTGGCCGCACAGGCTCAAGAGAGATAGAGAAACTGCCCAGTCATAGAGAGGGAATAGCATGAAAACTAGTACAGAAGGAGAAAATTTTCACAGATAAATACCCATAAAATAAACACTAAGACAGACTTTCTGTTCTGTGCTCATCTTTTGTTCACAGCTCGCAAGCAGTGACACACAACCTGGAAATAGTGTGGGAAGATGAGCTAGCGAGTGTGGCAGAGCCCTATGAGTTAGAAGGCCTGGACTTTCAAATTTCCTTTGTAGTCCCAAACTCTGCAAAGAACTCAGTATCTCTTTTTTTTTTTTTTTTTCCACACATGAAATGGGGTTTACAGCCCTAAAGGTTGTAAATGGATTAGGGAACTAAATTTGATAAAGTCTATAAGGTGGGTATAAAAATGATAGTACACGACAGTGAATCTGTCTTCGGGTTAGGATAATGAAGTGTATCCAAGCATGACTAACATTAAATCACATTTTCAATCTGCAAGCAGATCAGCTAATTGTATTTATCAGATCAACAAATCCACAGGAAAAAAGGTCCATTAAAGGCTACTAAATACAAGAACACCACTTCAGGCTCTGCAAGACCCTGAACTGTGAACACTAGGCTTAGCACACAGCAAAAGTAACACAAAGTGCTCGACCTCTTTATTTGTAAGGTACCTTTGGTCACCGGTCTGGCCTGGCTTGTTTATTCTCATGATTTTTATTATCATGATCTCCCAAGCCTTTGCAAAAAGGAATTAAGTTGAAAACTCAGAAGCATTCAGATCACTTCAGAGACTTTGAATTAAAATATTTTTCATAGTTGTTTACTACTAATCTTGTTTACTTCCTTAATAATATCTTACAGTTAGTGAGATAAAATGAGTTAATGAAAAAAAGTATATTTTACACCTATCCAGCTAAGATAGCAGAACACTGTCAAGAATTTTCCATTTTGTGTCAGTAGGTTTTTTTTTTTTAAATGAACAATTGCTCCCAACATGGATTTGCTACATATTATGCTCTAATTAACACTATGTGTTATTAAAGGTGCCAAAATTAGAAAGGCCATTTTGCATACACGACAATATTATCTTCTAGAAACTACAGTGCCTTTTAAAAGTTGATCTTTTACAAACTGAATACTGAAAAACTAATGACATGGAGAAGTGATTAACAGAAGAAACTGAAGCAAAAGTAGAGTTTCTCTGGTTCTGTTTTCATGCAGGAGGTTTTTTACCAACAGGAAGTACAATTGCCTTGTGAGATCTGTGCCATGACAAGCACTTGTTCAGAGACTGAAAATGAAGCTGTTTGAAGAAGCAGTGTATTTACTTTTAGTTCTACAATATACATCCGAAGATATTTAACAAAACAGCATGCACTGTAACCTATATGTTTGTTTCTATGGTTGTGATTTTTGGAGAACAGAAACCCTTACAAAAAAGGACCCTCATTTTCTGCATAAGATTTACTTAATATAATTTACTATTCAACATTAAGAGAAAGAATGTATCTGTGTAAAACTTCACTCTTTAGAAGCTTTTGTCTGACCTTTATATTATTTACCTACCGATGCAAAATATTTTGAACAGTGATAACATTTCTTACATTTATATTTTTAGAACACCAAATTATTTATAAGAACTACTGTCTTCTCTTTACCAGTAGATTTCTGCTGTTCATGGCATATTATGCCAGCTAGCATTTTGGAGCCATATAATAACCATTTCTCTTTCCAGCCACCAAATTGTTATTCTTTGGGTATAATGTGGATTCAGGAATGTAAGACTGTAGACCTTAAACCAATGATACAGAAACCCATCATTTGAAAATCAATGATGAATGCATGCATGCGGTTTACAGTTAAGAAGAGTCTGCATTTAAACCAGCTCTTTAAACCGTATCCTCTTTACTCAGAAAGCTGTGGCCTGCTCTGAGGCAGCTGTCCCACCTTCAGATAAATCCACCGAAGAGAATGCTCTCATTTACATTCAGAGGCAAAAAAAATGTATCAGACTTCTAATATAGAAATTAAACCTTCCTTCATCCTATACTTTAAAATTACACTCTGCCTGGACAATTATCAATTTAGATGTGACTGTATGCAGAACATCGCATTCCACTATCCACTTGAAAGCGCAAAAATTATATGTCATATATGAATGGATTTCCTGATTATAGATTATAAGAAAATGAAAAACAGATGGATTTTAGAGCAAGTTGGCTTTACATTTATATTTGGTTAAAAGCCATATTTTTGCTGGAATAGAACATTTTTAAACATTACGGATATAACTTGTAATGTATAATGAAAATAAAAACAGTAGATGTACAAGTTTTAAAGGGTGTATGTCAGAATTTGTAAATTTACAGCATTTTCAATTCAAGAAGTTTGCAGTGAAAATTATTTTTCCTTGTGTTGTTTGTTATACTGACTTGAAAGAGTAAAAATATTTTACGCAGAAAAGAGCTTGTTTCTCGACAGAACTAGTGGAGCAGCACGTGTCATGAAATGCAGTGCCAGGCTTTGTATTTGGACTAATGGCAGAATACAAAGACAAATGCTTTCTGAACATAGAATGCTCTTCTTGGTCATGTTCCCATATTCTGCATTTCAGCACAAGTGCCATTGACTTTAGAAGGAATTCTGTCCAAGTACAGACTCCATGATTAATCACTGCAATATCACTTTTTAAAAACATCCAGAAAAGTTATTTTTGTGCACCAGTAGTTAGTCAGTCAAGAAGAATTATTAAAAAAAAAAATTCCTTTACTCATGGAAAACTACAATTTGAACTACGTTACAAAATCACTTACTACTATCTTAAATAGTCACTTCCATGTTTTAAGAATGTAAGAGTATGAGCAGGGTGCAAGTTTATTCAGGACAGGACACAGAGCAAAGTTCACTTCTCTTCTTGCATTCCCCATTAGTAACACCTGTACCTTACATGTAGTTTTGGTCATCGGTGTTATAGTCGTTACAAAGCTGCTGCAAATCTTGATATTCTCAGAGATAGGGTAATAATTCTGTACTGAGCATTTAAGCCGGGAAACTTCCATGTGTTCAGGTAACACAAATGAGGAAAGAATAATTTATTTCCATACCTCTCAACATTATTGAACAGCATTGTCATGATTCAAAGTCTTTAAATCTTGAAAAATTGGAAGATTTTTGTATTTTGATTTCTTGAAATTTTGAACATGTCATGTCCCTACTTGTTTCTTTTTAATTTATGATTTAAAAGATACAAAAGTATAGTGACGTAGAAGAATGAAGAACAAGACACACAATTTATACGTCCTTTCTTTGATCTCTCTGTAATTTACTCTAATGCTTTTTGCTGATCATATGGGTTGAGAATTTATACGACCTTTAGGAACCTGTGATGCCTACCTCCCATTAATTTTAATAGGAAAAGAGTTTTCAAATTTTTGAAGGAGGTTCAATAAATATTAATAGTCATTTCAAGTTTACAATAAGTGTATACTCTTATTTGTGGAAATTATCATAATTCTTCCAAGAAGAATATGTACATTCCCTTTCATGCAGGATTCCTGCTTCTTACTAGGTAATGTTAAATGCACATCCCATATATATGACATTATGACTGACCACCAAGCCTCTCAAAAAGAATGTTAAATTTAGAACGAATCTATATAAACATGAGAACCAACTATGCTGCAATTTACTTCCACTTCAAAAATAAAAGTATATATATATATAAAAGAATAAATGCAGTAATAGAAATTTTGCTAAATTCACACCCACTTTTGCACTCTTCACTCAGTTTCTGGGGGAATGGTAAGTGTTCCTAACAGTAATTAAAAGACAATGAAAGGATTGCTTTTCTCTCTTACATCTTATGTGTAGATTTTTTTTTTTTTAACGGATACACACCATTGGAACAGGCTATGGTTTACCACTCAGACAAAATAGGTACCAACAATAAAGCACTAATGCCAGAAAGCTGTACTGGTGTCCACCTAAACATAATTTTAAAAAGAGATAATTGAAGGTTCTTACTCACATGTTGCTTGCTAGTCATTTCACAGTACATGACCTCTACTAACTGCAAGCAGTAGAAGAAAACCAAACTGCAGATATGCTTACCCAGAAA